TAAGCGCGCCTTATCCCGCTATAGCGCGCCTTATCTCTCCATTATTTTCCCCTTAAAAAAAAATCTATATTTAATATAAAAATATATTTAATATCTTAAAAATACGAAACGCATTATGGTGCTTATTCTTCTCATTGACACGCCAAAACTTGTGATTTTTGATTCTCGATCTCGACGCTTCGCAACGCATTACCCATTTTAGAGGACTGATTATACGTGTTTTAAAGGAGAAGGAGAAGCAACCTGATAATTAATTTCAGAAATTGATTAACGTGCAAAAGTTAATTAAATCATAAACAAAAATATGGGAGTTACCTTGGGTATGCATATATAATTAAAAAAATTTGAATTGGCAGAAACCAATTAACGCGCAAAAATTGAGTTGACATTAGCACAGGAAGTTGGGATGGTTACAAGAAGCTAATTGTGGCAGACAACAATTTGGCAGAAACCAAATTTGTTCGCGTAAACGTTGCGGAAGCAATATATGGATGTGACATCATGATACACACAAATGATTACAAATAAACAAATATTTTGTAGGAATTGATTCCCACCGAATTGATTATGCTTAGTAAAATCGACAGATAACGTGTTTTATATATATATATATATATACATGTCACCGAATTGATTTTGGTACACGTAATAGATGATTATAAAAAAAAAAAATACTACCTTCTCCGAACTTTAAAGAATTAAGTTTTTGTGCTGATAACGTGTTATAAAAGGAGAGAAAATGAGAAGTCAACAGACTTGTGTGTTATAATGAGAACCAAAGTCCTATATTTATAGAAAAGGAATATGGATACATATGATAATTATATCTAGGGTTGTAGGGGTACAAATATCATTCACAGTAAACCATAATTTACTTTCCTTTACAACATAATTGTCCTTTTGAAAGTGACATCTTTTATTCCTTTTTTACTTTCATTACTTATATTATTATTTTTTTCCTTTCATAAGATTTTGATAGTCTTTTGGAGCATATACTTTGTAAATACAAGATGATATCTATTCAGAGAGTTAATCATTAAAAATAAGCTCCAAAACTTTTTAATTTAATTTTTAAAATAATTTAAAGAGTCAAACCTATAATTTGTTCTTACTTTATAGCGATTACATTAAGACTCTATTTGATCCTCAAGTTTTAAAAATTATTTTTTATTGAAACTCATGTTTAGCCATTCATTCTTCTAATAAACTAATTTTATACGTAAATTTAAATTTTTTCTCTAATTTTTTAATCACATAGTTTCAAAAAATAAATTATTATTTCAAAATTTATTATCTCAAACAATGGAAATCAAACAAACTCTTAATAAATTACATATTTAAAATTCTACATCTTAAATTATTTAATAATTGATATTTATAAAAAAACTAGGTGCAAGCAACGTGCAATGTACGTTTGCTTTAATAATTAATTTGTTATTAATAAAGATGTAATTTTTTTTGGTTAATTAAGGGCGTATCTGGGCGCGCTGCAAGAAGTAAGGAAAATTAATTATATTACCATTTTTTTTAAA